GAAGTGGCGTTGTCCTGATCTTTCGTATGCCAAACAACTTGCAGCATTCATGGAACACAACTGATTAAAAGTTACGGCCTTGATCCGAATGCAGTTCATATGGCATACCAAATCTGAAGAAGAAATCACTAATAGCCAAAGCTACAGTTGTAGCTTCCCGATTTGGTATTGCATATGCCTCAGGCCACTTGGTGAAATAATCAATCACCACACAAATGTACTTGTTTCCAGCATGAGTTTGGGGCAAAGGACCAGCAATGTCAACATTTACTTATTCCATTGGTGCACCAACTTGATATAGCTTCATTGGAGCACGTCCCTTGTGCTTGGGTCCCCTTTTAGCACAACATGTACTGCAGGTCCTGCACCATTCTTCCACATCTTGCCTCATACCTATCCAGTAGAATCTTTGTCGTAGGTGACTCAATGTCTTCTTAACTCCAAGATGTCCTCCTGTTAAAGTATCATGGGATTGACGCAGCACAACTTCCCGTAACTTTCTCGGTATAACTGTTTGCCAGGTCGTCACTTTCCCATCTGCAGTCTCCCATCTCCAGACAAGACTACCATCTTCAAGCTTCAACTGGTCCCATTGTGCCCAATAGTTCTTTGTCACAGGGCTTAAGCTAGACACTTCCTCCCAAGCAGGGCGCAAAACACTTACTTGTAGGAAATCAATTATTGGCTTCAAATCCTGGTCTTTCTCCTCCTCTGCTTTAATATCTATACCTGGTTCCATCTCACCATTATCAACTCCTTCAGTCACTTTGACTTTAGCTTGATGACACCTGGTTAGTTCAACCTCTCTTTTAACACTTACCGGAATTTGGCCTTTATTGTTCCCAAACGTCATTTTATCGAAATTAACCACACACTTCCTTGGTAGTAAGTAGTCCAACCCTAGTATGCATTGGTCTTCAATGTCAGCCAAACATACTCTGTGTCTGTCCTTCATGCCCATGAGCTCAATAGTTACCCACACTGGTCCCCACAACCTTGCTTAATGTCCTGTCACACCACAGAGCTTCTGTCTGGCTTCTGGTACTCCTTTGTGATCCAGCACCTTGATGCTCACAAGGTTTTGTTGAGATGCAGAATCTATGACAAAGTTGCACCTTTGGCCATCCAACTTTCCTGTCATGTAGACACTATGTGTGCTTGCCA